CATTCTTTAAAGAGAAAGAAAACATGAACACAAGCTTTCTTTGTAATGGAAAAAAACTTCAGATAAGCACAGCATTGCTTAAGAAAACCAAAATTGGGGGCCTCTTACTCCCTGATCTAAAAATCTACTACACAGCCACAGTGGTCAAAATAGCCTGGTACTAGTGTCATGAGTCCTGGTGTGGCACTGGGGGTTAATGTGCTAGACTGCAAAGTTGGTTTGAACTGTAAGGTTTCTGGTTCAAGCTCACCAGTCACTCCTTGGAAACCATCTAAAAGGTTGCTATGGGTCGAAACTGACTCAGCGGCACTTAACAACAACAGTGTCATGAAAGATATATAGATCAGTGGAACAGAATTGAGAGCCCAGAAGTAAATCCATACACATACAATCAGCTGATCTTTCACAAAGGGCCAAAACATATTAATGGGGAATAGACAGTCTTTTCAACAAATGGCAATGGCAAAACTGGGAATCCATTTGCAAGGGAATGAAACAAGAATTATATTTTACACCATATAGCAAAACAAGTTCAACATGTACTAAAGATTTAAATGTAAACCTAGAGTTATAAATATCGTAGATGGAAAAAATAGAGACAAGTGGAACTGCAGGTTAATTTGCTGGATTGCAAAATTGGTTTGAACCACATGGTTAGCAGTTCAAGCTCACCAGTTGCTCCTTGGAAAACCTATACAGGGTCACTATGGGTTGGAATCGACTCAATGGCACTTAACATCAACAATACATGGAATGAATACACTGTCATGCATAACTAAAAACAAACAGCAGAACACAAAATAGAATAGTGGGTTCTGACTCATAACGACTCTGTACAGGGTTTCTGAGGCTGTAAATCTTTACGGGAGCAGAAAGCCTCATCTTTCTCCCACAGAACAGCTGGCAGTTTCGAACTGCTGACTCTGAGGTTAGCAGCCCAATTTGTAACCTCTATGCTACCAGAGCTCCTCCATTAGCCATTGTTGTCCTTGTGAATTGCTGTCGAGTCGGTTGGACCCATTGCGACCCTGTATAGGATTTCCAAGGAGCAGCTAGTGAGCTTGAACCACCATCCTTGCAGTTCAAATAGCTTTGCAGTGTGGTACATTAACCCACAGTGCCACACCAGGACTTCCCATTAGCCATTAGAAAGATGCAGATCAAAACAACAACAATGAGATATTATCTTACACCAGCATTAATAATTGTTGTTTTTATGTGCTGTGATTAATAGTAAATTTCAAAAAAAAAAAGGAAGACAACATATGCTGGCAAGGATGTAGAGAGACGGGGACCCTCTTATATTGCTGGTAGGACTATAAAATGGTGCAATCACTATGAAAAATGGTATGGTGCTTCCTCAGGAAGTAGGAAATGGAAATGCCTTATGATTCAGCAGTCCCTCTACTTGATATATATCCACAAGAAATAAGAGTCAGGACATGAGTAATGATGTCCGTTACAGCACTATTCAAAATAGCAAAAAGATGGAGACAGCCTATATGCCCATCAATGGAGACATGAATAAACAAACTTTGGTACATACATATAATACAATGTTGAAGAATAACAGTCAATCTGTGAAACATCTTATAACATGGATGAACCTGGAGGACATTATGTTGACTGAAATTAGTCAACCACAAAGGATAAATATTGTATAAGACCACTATTGTAAAAGTTCAAGAAAAGGTTTTCATGTTAAAAGAATCTTCTTTGATGGTTACCAGGAGTGGAAGGGAAGGGATAGCAATTTACTGGCTAAAGAGTAACAATTTATATGTTAACTCAGGTGATGTTGTTGTTGTTGTTGTTAAGTCCTGTGCAGTCTGCTCTGACTCATAGTGACCCTGTATACGGTTTCCAAGGAGCAGCTGGTGGGTTTAAAGTGCTGATTTTGTAGTCAAACATTCAAAATCAAAAGAGCAACATTTACTAAGGACAAAGTTGAGAAGGGATGGGGAGTGAGTGGAATGGAAACAGGAACCACAGGGAGGAAGTGGGATAACTGTGGTTGCCTGGAGGGGATTGCAATCATTGAGATGAAACAAAGTGTATGATTTATTAAATGTAAAACTGATGATCTTGTCTGTAAGTCTTCAATCAATTCACAATAAAAAGTTAGGGAAAAAGTATCACTACAAAATCACAAAAAGAATGATTAAACTGAAATAATAGAGCTTCCTGAGAACTCAGAATTTCTTAAACCAGCATAGCTCCCCTGGCCTTGAGGCAGAAACAAGCCTCACAGGTGGTGTTTACTGTATGGTGCTATTATTTGAACTCATACATCACACTGACCCTGTTATTGTTATCTAGTTTTCTTGTGAGCCAACTAATCCGCTATTTTTTTGCTTCTGTACTCCCTGTTTTAGCACATTCCTTTAGATAAGCCCCTAGACTCCTAGCCAAGAGCTTAGCGTTTATAAACTAGCAGCCATTTCCCTAAGGCACTGACAGGCCTGGGAGAATTCATTATATCCTGCCATCTGGCTACAGCTGTCTGTTGTGCCAATAAAATTCTCTAAATTAGACATTATAGTGGTCATCATCCTTCTTTGGGACTTAAACCCGTAACAAAACAAATATATAAAAATATGAAATATTGTTTCTTAACATATCCTCCATTTGGTCTATATACTTCTGAAGGTGGTGTTTCTCTGAAGAATTCTATAATTTCATTTGCACCATGTCAAAAAATGGCAGTTTTGGCATCCTCGATGGACGTTCAGTGTTCTTTGGGTTTGGGGAACTAAAGCATATCTGAAAGGCAACATCAGAGCTGTAGATGGATGGAGTACATTTTCCCAATGAAATCCCTATTACCCTTGAAGAATGAGCCAATGCATGATCAAGAAAAAGAAAAGAAAAGAAAAAAAAAATACCTCGATGTAAATTTCCTGTTCTTTTTCTAACCAATACAGTTTTCAATTTTATTTAAACTTCTTTATAGTAAAATTTATTGATTACCCTGTGTCCTTTGAGAAAATCTATCAGATTTCCCCTTTATAGTTCTAGTCATGTTGCCGTAATTTAATTTAACTGGTGGAAGATCCCCTCAGAAGTCACTGTTTTGATTGAGTCTTTATTTTTTTAAAAACCCCTAATGAGATCTGGTAGCAAAGTGGATACCAATTGGGCCGCAAATCTCAAAGTCAGCAGTTTGAAGCTATCAGTGGTTTCTTGGGAGAAAGACAAGGGTTTTTGATCCTGTAAAGATTTACAGTCTCAGAAACCCTATACAGGGTGGCTATGAGTTGGAACCAACTCCACGGCTCGTAACCACCATCACCAATGAGACTAACCTGCTTCGGTGCTGTGAGATAATGCAGTGGGCTGCAAGGTTACTTTGAATTTCAGGATTGGAAGTTCCAATTCAACAAGTGCTCCTCAGAAATCCTATATAGCCATAGCTATCAGTCAGAGCTAAATAGACGGCACTTACCAACCACAACAATAATGAAACTAATGCTGTAGGATAAGCACTGGACCGCAAAGTCTGCGATTTAAACTCACCAGCGGCTCCTCAGAAACTTCATAGAGTCCCTATGAGTAGAAACCTACTTGATGACACTTAACAACAACAATGAGACTAACACAAGTGCATTGCTGAGAAATCTTGTCTGCAACCGTCCACTGATTGAAGAGACATATTTAAACACATTTAAAAAAATTAACCCATATATACATATACTTTTTCAGAAACAGATGGTCATAAGTGGTTCCTTGAACCTCAAATACATTTTATCTCAGTGACTACATTACAGAGCATGGGAACACTGAATGTTTTAAAATTGGGAAAGGTGTGCCACAGGGTTGTATTCTTTCACCATACTTGTTCAATTTGTATGCTGAGCAAATAATATGAAAAGCTGGGTTCTATGAAGAAAAACGTGGCGTCAGTATTGGTGGAAGCCTCATTAACAACCTGTGATATGCTGATGATACAACCTTGCTTGCTGAAAGTGAAGAGGACTTGAAACATATACTTATGAAGATCACAGAGCACAGCCTTCGATATGGATTACATCTCAATGTTAAGAAAACAAAAATCCTCACCACTGGACCAATAAACAGCATTCTTATCAATGGAGAAGAGATTGAAGTTATCAAGGACTTCATTCTTGGATCAACTGTCAACACTCATGGAAGCAGCGGTCAAGAGATCAGGCGACGTATTGCATTGGGCAAATCTGCTGCATAGGAACTTTTTAAAGTACTGAAGAGCAGAGATGTCAGCTTGAGGACTAAGGTGCGCCTGACCCAAGCCATGGTATTTTCAGTAACCTCATATGAATGTGAAAGCTGGACAGTGAATAAGGAAGATCGTAGAAGAATTGATGCCCTTGAGTTGTGGTGTTGGGAGAAAATACTGAAAGTGCCGTGGACTGCCAAAAGAACCAATAGATCTGTTTTGGAAAAAGTGTAACCAGAGTGTTCCTTGGAGGCCAAGATGGCTAAGCTTCGTCTCTCCTACTTTGGACACATTGTCCGGAGAGAACAGTTGCTGGAGAAGGATGTCATGTTGGGTAAGGTGGAGGGTCAGAGAAAAAGAGGAAGACCCCCAACGAGATGGATCAGCCAGGTGGCATCATTGATGGCGTCAAGTGTGGCAGTGGTAGTGAGGTTGGCCCAGGATCAGACATTGTTTCATTCTGCTGTGCATGGGGTCACTATGAGTCGGTTCCGACTCGATGGCACCTGACAACAACAACCTGTATAAAGATTTATTTAATTTTTTGAATATTTTATGATAGTACTTTTCACTCTTACCTTAAAGCTATTAATGAAAGTTCTAGCAGATTAGATATGCCACCAAGGACACATATTTAGTCAACAACAATAAAAATAATCCCAAATCAGTGAAAACAATGGCCAGGGAAGGGTAAATGCCAAGGTGTGCAAGTCTGTGAATTTCAGCATGGTTTCAAACTAAATATTTTACTATTCTGTTGTCATATTTTAGTAATACAAATAAGAGGTAGTGCAGACTACTATACCTGTCTATAATTTAAAGCATCCAGATAGATTGAATTTTGAGCAAAAACAACTGATTTACAAGGCATGTTGACTCCTAAAGCAAGTGTCCCTGTAGCTGTCACCACCTAGAAAGAAAATAGAACAATTATTTCAAAAACTGGTATTTCAATACAATGCATGTTATCTGCCAGATAGTTTCTGAAAAATCATATGAACTTCAATTAAACCTCAGTAGAAAAGCTAAAGATAGTCACATTGGTATTTTTGCAATTTTACAAATAAACTAAACACTTTTTGACTCAGAGTCAAATGCCACTGATTGACACAAAATATGTTCCCTCCAAATATTCATTTGTCTGATTCCTTCAGTTTTTTGCTTAAATGTCAAAGAGGTACTTCTGGACCACCAGATCTAAAATAACATCACTTCACCATTACTGATTTTTGTCTGTCCTATAAAATTTATCTTCACAGTATTAAAGACTGCTTTAAGGTATATTACTTGTTTGTTTAATTGTCCTATAAGAAACTCCAATCACCAGTCACTGTTTTATTGCCAATACCAAGTAGCATCTCTGGCATATAATACCAATCACCTTCAAGTTGACTCTGGCTCATGGTGACCCCATGTGCCAGATTAGAATTGTGCTCCATAAGATATTCAAAGGCTTACCTTTTGAAAATAGTGCTAATGAGTAGATTTAAATTGCATTGGCAACACCTAGAGATTCTTGGAACATGACTGGTGGTCAATTAATATATTTTTAATAAATGACTAGAAAAGAATTTCACATTTCCAAACACACTTCGAGGCAATTGCCTACTTTCTTGCACTATACTTTGTTTGTGAAGGGTATATCTATGTAAATAAATACAAGTAAAAAGAACAAAATAAAGTTTTGTGGTTTTCCTCCTGAATTGCTATGGTAACTAAAAGGAAAGAAGGATGATAAACTTAAAAGTCTTCCTAGATAATCTAGCTTTTTGGAATTTCTAATTGGCTTCCCTTTCTTTTAAATTGACATCAAATAGGGCATTATGTGCTTTAATATTTTAAGTCTATGGATTTATTTTTCACTAATTATTCTCTCAGATATCTGTATCCATCAAGTTGTAACACATCATTTATTAATTGTTCTTCTAAAGTTCTATAATAAGAACCAAAAAAGGGGAAAGTGAAACCTTAAATTTAGAAAATAAATACAGTATATTCCTTTTTTTAAAAATGTGCTCTCTATAACAAAGCTTTCACTATTCCCATAGTGATCAACTTTCAAAAATTAAGCCATTGAAAACCCTATGGAACACAATTCTAATCTTACATAATAGGTTGCTATGAGTCAGGATTTTCCCTAATATTCTTCCTACACTATTTGGTTAGTCATCCATTAAATAGTCATTGAGAAACTGATATTTAACAGCGATTATTTTAGACATTGGATATACTTACCAAAATAGATGTGCCTCTTAACCTCAATTAATAATCTTGTATAAAAAATCAATCTCTGATTATTGATCTTTAAAATGAAAAATATATAACTGGATATGTACTAACTGCTCCTTAATTAAGGAACTGTTATTAATGATATATTTTGTTTTGCCAGATAATGAAAACTATTCTTTAATTATAACAGACTTTACTCAATACATCCTTTATTAAGATTAAAAGACGCTACTGAGGGCAACAGAATGAGTACCAATTTCTCACCGCCTTTGTCTCTCTGTCTCTTTCTCTCTCTCTCATATACAAACACAAACAACAAGATAATTCATGTTATATAAAATTTAATATAGAAAATCAGAAAAATTAGAACCTATTTTTAATTATTATCCAGGTTCAAAATTTACTAGGAAATTGTTAAGAATATATCCAAAGCACACCAATGCATACACTAAACCAAAGATTACAGGGGTTTGGTTTGCAAGCTGGTTAAAATCTTTTTCACCTTATCTACTATCAGTGATAGTGGAGGAAATGCTGAATGGAACATGTAAAACCTGTGTCCATATATAGTAGGCCCTAAGGAACAGAGGATTCTTGCTTTTATTTCAGAAAAAGATCTGACCAAACTCTACCATAAAAGTCCTACAAGCACATGAAAAGATGTCTATAACCAAAATGATGTGAGCAACTGACACAATTTTCTGGATATTAAATAATGAAGAAGAAAAATTGTGCCTACATCAATGTTAGAAAAATTTCACTATAGAAAATAATTGGGAAAGTAACAGTTTAGAGAAGTATTGTACTTTCATATAAATATTATAGATAATGGGAATGATTGATATACCTCAAATCCTTTTCCTTAAATTATATACAATTACATTATGGATTACAAAAATGCATATCAAAGTTAGATAAATTTCATTGAAATTCAGCTTCATGTTGATATAATTTTGATTTTTAGAATGAAAATTTTACCTACCCTAATAAATCCTTTCCTAAAAAGAATTTCAACTAATTGTTTTTCTTTAGCGCTCATACATCTATGATGATATCCAATACCCCTTTGTGCCAAAGCCTTTAGTTCTTCACTTTTTACTCGATCAAAAACCACCTGCAAAGTCTAGAAGAAATAAGAGGTTTTTTATTTGGTTTTAATTCAAAGAAGAATCAATAATATTTAAATGACAATAACATAAAGGATATATAATAATGTAGTAAAATTAAGCAACATCTGAAATCAATTCTACATGCCCAAAGAGAATATTTTTGGCAGCAAAAGAAACTGGAGAAAATCCTTTCAATTCATTAAACAGAGTGCCCTTGGCCCACTTTAGGTGTGAAAACTACTGATAAAATAGTAGGTTAAAATGCCCCCAACAGTTGTGAGTGCATGACCTATGGCTGCCTGAAGAAGAGAAGTTTTCTACTGGAGTCCTAAGAGTTCTTCCCCCAGCAAGAACGATTCATTCAATAAAGAAGACAGAGTTGATTCTCTATCCTATATGGCCAGGGAAAGCTTACTTCTCACTTCATATTAGACACACTGGTTTTTAAATAATCCATGGTCTGAGGATGAAATTCAGTTGTATACAAAGGCATAGGCACATATATTAATACTTTTGGAGAGAAAAAGAGAGAAAAAAAAAAAAGTATCTTAAGCAAATGACTGGTTAACAAAATTATTATTACTATGAACTACCAAAAAGCCATTAAAATCATGATATAAGCATAAGGTTATTAAAAAGAAACAAGATAGGTTGCAAAATAATGTATTTTGCATTACAATAAAATATTCTATATTATCACAAAAATATTATAATAAAATAATGTATTAAAAAGAATATAAAGGTTGGAAAATAATGATTAACAGATATCATCTGATTTGTTAAAAAGGCATGAGCTGAGTATGTATATGTATTAAACAAGTGTGTGTATCTACATGTAGTGTATGTTAGGAACAGACAAACCTGCATCTAGAAGGCCAGTGATTACTTCTAAGTGATGGCATTGTTTGTACTGTTGCTAATTTATTTTTTTAAGTTTGTTTACCATGCGCATGAATTAATTGCATAAAATATACTTTAAAGAAGTGGTATAACACTTGCATATATTATAATGACTCTTGAGTAGAAGGTTTGATAGAAGTCTCTGATTTTGAGAAACTCTGTGACAGCTAGTGAAAGTGTATTTGACCACATGTTCCCAAATATGGCCAATATTCATTCAAATGAAGCATATAGGATCAAATCTGAGAATTTAGGGTACACACCAGTATGATAGAAATAATAAAAGGACAAACATTATCAGTGGTAAACTATTAACAGAAAGTAAATAGCATATAAATTCTTTTTAATAAGCATTACAGCTATATTATCGATTACAGCTGTTTTCAAAGAGAGTGGTTCCATTCTATCTGCTAACCTGAGTGTCTGCTGCTTTTTGATCAGCATATGTGCAGTCTTCAGGGATTGTCTGGTTCTTCTGTAGATTCATCAGTAGATTATTATATTCAGCTTTACAATGCAGGCTTTGATCTGTTTTTCTGGGCTTTTTCTGATCTCTATTTATAAAAATAAAAATTTAAATGATGAATATTCATTTTTAACCACCATAGGAAGCCCAAGACTTTCCAGGTCATCTTTATCATCCAAATATTTATACCTACTCTGTACCTATTCTAATATAACTTCCTTCCTCTAATGAACTTCCTCATTAGAATTATGGTATCTCACTGAAAACTCCAACTAAAACTCATAGTATATTTCTCTGAATGTCCCCTCCCCTTCTTGTTGTCAATAAAATTAGCTATCTTCAGAGGACCTTACATCCCCTGGGAGTTGCTAAATTGACATTATTTTTTCTTCTTTAGATTGTAACATTAGGAATGGAAGTAAGGTGGGCATCCTCCTTGCTCCCCATTGCCAATTCCAAACCTTCCCCCTAAATGCTATTTCAATGTTGAAATAAATGTCTATAACTTATTATCAAAAATTCACATGGAACAAATAATAACTGTTATACAATGAACAACTATTTCCTGCTAGGTAATGTCTTAAGCAATGGAGATAAAGAGCGGGAGCTACATGATCTTCTTAGAGGAGCTAACAATTTAAAGAGGTAAAAAGAATAACAAACAACAGCAATTCATCTTGAAAATGTACCAGAGCACAGAAGAAAGGACACTACATCCATCTGAGGGTCTCAGGACAAGATTCAGAGAGGAGATAGAGAGAATTGTGAATACAAGCTTTGGGTCAAGCATGAAGGAAAGCATTCTAGGTGCATGGATCAGTTCAAAGAAAAGCATAGAGGTCGAAGAACAAGTCATATGAAGACACCCATAAATATTGAATGCTATTAGAGAAGAGTAGTTGGAAATGAGGCAAAAAAGATTAAGGCAAGGACTAAAATATGTTGGTATGTCAACAATAATCATGGATGTTAAATTTTACCAGCACATCAATGAAGAAAGAAGAATATTGAGCATAGAATAATTTTATCAATTTGAATTTTAGAAATGACATATTATTGTTAAGTGCTACTGAGATAGTTCTGAGTCATAGCTATGCTGTATAGGGTTTTCAAGGTGTGCTTGGTGGGTCTGAAGTGCTGACATTCTGGTTAGTTTACTGTTTATCCTACAAAGTCACATTAGGAGTGAAAGCATAATCCAAAAAACAGAAACCCTGTTTTTAAACCAATGAGTGGTTGAAGACGGAGAGTAAAGTATATAAATCCTTTGGTTGTAAAATTATTAGAATCAGAAATTAAGAAAAAGGAACTAGAGTGACCACAGCAAAGTCCTATCAATCTAATTTTAGAATATATTCTATGCTCATCTATTGACTGTGATGGCAAATCTGTGAGATTTCTATATTATGATTCAAATCAATGTGTGTAGACTCTTTCAAATTAAGGATAACCTTGCAAAGCACAGATATTTCAGAATACTTAATTGTTCTCTTGAGGATCCTGTATATAAACCAAGAGATGTTAGAACAGAAAAAGGGTATACTGAATGGTTTAAAATGAGAAATGCTGTGTGCCAGAATTGTATCCTTTCACCATACATATTCAATATGTATGCTGAGCAAATAATCAGAGAAGCTGGATTATATGATGAAGAACATGGCAGCAGTATTACAGGAAAACTCATTAACAACCTGAGATATGCAGATGACACAACCTTGTCTGCTGGAAGTGAAGAGGACTTAAAATACTGACTGATAAAGATCAAAGACTACAGCCTACATGCAAAGACTACACCTCAATGCAAAGGCAAAGGCAAAAAAAAATCCTTACAACTGGACCTATAAATATCATCATGATAAATGGACAAAAGATTGAAGTTGTAATTTTTTTTTTTTTTCATTTTGCTTGGATCCACAATCAACACAGATGGAAATAGCAGCCAATAAATCAAACAACATATCACATTAGGAAAATCTGCTGCACAAGACCTCTTTAAAGTGTTTAAGAGCAAAGAAGTCAACTTGAGGATTTAGGTGTGCTTGACCAAAGCCATGGTATTTTCAATTGCTTTGTATGCATGTGAAATCCAGATAGTGAATAAGGAAGACCACAGAAGAATTGATGCTTTTGAGTTATGGAGTTGGAGAAGAATGTGGACTGCCAGAACAAACAAATTTGTCTTTGAATAAGTAGTCAGATATTTCTTTGAAGCGTCTCATACTTTGGACATATTATCAGAAGAGACCAGTCCCTAGAAAAGGATATCATGCTTTGTAAAGGGCGTGGTCAGCAAAAAAGAGGAACATAGTCAAGGAGATGTATTGACAGAGACAGTGGCATCAGCAATGGGCTCAAACATAACAACAATTGGGAGGATGGTACAGGACAGTGCAGTGATTCATTCTCTTGTACATAGGGTTGCTATGAGTTGGAACTTACTCAATGACACCTAACACCAAGACTGCGTTGAAGCTTTCTAAGGGCTTGACTGAGAGTGATATATACCATATGTATCAAAGATACACTTACTTTAAGGAAAGAATTTTTAAAAACTTGTCAGATTGTATATGTACCTAGGTTTGCTGGCCATGGTCCAACAAAGTACTAATTTCTTACTGAAATTTGTATTTTAATTATTTAATGGTCAATCTATATATATATAAATACTTACATCATGCTTTGTTTCTCCAGAGATTTTTCAAGTTTTCGAAGTTTTTTAGTCCTAGCATGGACCTCTTTATCAGCTTTGGGAGGCCTTTTACTTTCCTGCTTCGCCTCCAGAAAAGCTTTTACACTTGTAGCCCTTTCTTCTACATCTGATATATTGAATCTTGAAATAAATAAAAATAATATTTGCCCTGGGAATAATATCATTCATAGAAATCAAACCATAAATCTAAGTACTACCATCATCTTAATATACACCTGTTGGTTTTATCTTTCTTTTTCCATAATGCACATACAAAATATTCTGTATCAGACAGACTTCTTATCAATTGCCTTAATGTAAGTAATAAGTGCATCAGCTCCCTTGCCCCATACCTCATCCATAAAATAGGTAGAAATATATATATTTTTTCCCTTGTTGGCGCAAAATATTAAGAGTCAATGAAAATTTATCCACATGAGTGATCAAATACCCCTTAGGTGAGGGAAAAAAGGATTGGATTTTTTCTATTTATATTCAGGAGATAGGCTGTCAATCTCACCCCTCCTGAAAGATGAGCAAAACAGATCAAAACAATAGCCAAACATTCTTTATAACAGAAATAAAAAGATCATAGTTTTTTTTAACTAACCTTTTGGAAATTTACTACTTCATCCTGGACCATATGAACCCTTGCTTGCTTTGCCTTTAGTAATTTAGAGATGTCTTCAAGATCATTATTTTATATCTTTTATAATGTAAATACCAATGAAAATAGCACTTCGATCTTCCTGGCAGCTTGGGACTTGCCTAAGGACCTAGCTCAGGTTGAAACCACTTGGGCATCACTAGTCTGAGCAATTAAATAGACAAATAGCTACAAATCTAATTTTCATTATATGTGAAGAGTAAAATATTTATAAGGAAATGAAACAAAATATTCCTTATCTTTATATCATATTAACTCCCCTTCCTCAGGAAATTAGGACATTTTAAAGAAGCGCTCAAATAACCAGGGATGTTCTCGTTGCCTACAATAGCTTGTTAGCATAATGCTGTGATTCCAAATAATCAATAACCAGCACGATATAAAAATTCATAGATTGGATCTAGACAATGTATTTCTTAATGCAAATTTTGATCCAAAAGGACTTTCTAAAGTCTTTCTACAGCCAGCATTTATAGGGAATGTTGCTAGCTGATAAAAAGTAAATGAGTTGGCACACTAGTGAATTAAAGATTAAGAATGTTACAGTCTAAACCATGTGGAAAGGTATTTTATATGGTTGTTGTTGCTGTTATTAAGTGCCATTGAATTGGTTCTCACTCATAGCTACCCTGTAGAGGGTTTCCAAGGAATAGCTGGTGAATTTGAACCCCCAACCTTACAGTGAAAACCAGCCTTGGGGTCCAATGCATTAGTCCACAGTGCTACACCAGGACAGCAAAATAATAGTAAACACTTACGTTGTACTTACTATTATCAACACTAATCTAAAGGGTTTTAATATATTTACTTAAATATAAGTATTTATTCTATTAGCAAGGAGCAATTTTCACTTGGAAAACACACAGGCATAAAACGTTTAAATGGCCTACCCAAAATACTGTAGCTAGTACATGATAAAATTTGTTCATGTTCTTAACAGAGACATTATGTTGCCTGTCTTTTTATATTCATTCAAGTTACTGTGGTCTAGGCACATATTGCTGTTGTTGTTAAGTGCCTACAAATTGGTTTCTACCCATAACAACATTTTATAGGGTTTCCAAGGAGCCACTGGTGAGTTTGAACTACTAACCTTTTGATGAGCAGTCCTGTACTTACTCTATAATGCCTCACCAGGACTCTACAGGCACATATTACTAGTGTTAAATGCTATCATTTTCACATTTTAAAATTTAGATGACATAGAAATATTTTTATATCTTAAAATTCTCTGATAACGTATAAAAATGCAATCTAGAGACAAGAGTTGTTGTTGTTGTTAAGTGCCGTCGAGTCGGTTTCGACCCATAGCGACCCTGAATAGGGTTTCCGAGGCTGTAAATCTTTACGGGAGCAGATCGCCTCATCTTTCTCCCGCGGAGCACAAGAGTACTAAGTGCTTTTACACTTTGTTTTGTTTGACTTTCACCCCAATCCTATGTATTATTCTCTTTATCTACTCATTTATCCAATAAAGACACGCCTCCTCAAATTGGTACCATAACTGTCTAGAAATGACACAGTTTATAGGGAACAAAGCTGGGATCTAAGCTTGGGTTTGACCATGTAAAGTGTGTGTTCTTAATAACTCTATGATACAGCTACCAAACACTAAACAAGCAGCATGCATTTCTTCCTAAAATCAGAGAAGTCTGGTAGGTGCATTACTTTTTGAAAAGCTTCCAAAGGCCTCATTTAAATCCCGAGAAATCTTCAGAGTTCTTGATGAACTGTTTTTTTGTTTTGTTTTGATTTGATTATTAGATGCTATTGAGTTGATTCTGATTCATAGTGATCCCAATTGTTACACAGCAGAACTACCCTGTAGGGTTTTCTTAACTATAAGCCTTATGGAAACAAATTACTAGGTCTTTTCCCCATGGAGCTTCTGGGTGGGTTGAAACCATCAACCTTTCAGTAAGCAGCCAAGTGCTTAACTATTGTGCTATCAAAGCTAATCAGGATTAAATCAACCTGCTAACAACCAGAGTTTTTCATAGTAGGTTTGTGAAGAACCCAAATATTAACAGAAATGTACCAAAATCCAAAATCCTGAATAAAATTAAATCTTTCATGCTTTGTGCAATATTCTACTTTTCAGATATTTCAGTTCATATAAGTATATGGCTAATGAACCTTGTTATTTCGGGATTTCTTTTTTGCAGGTCTGCATTCAGGAATACTCCAAATGTACAGAATTGTCTTTGATTCCAACTAAAATTTATAGACACAGTTGAAAGGGAAGTAGATGAGCACTGTAATTTCCTGAAAAGTAAGTTACATGCCATCAAGCCAGTTCTAACTCATAGTGACCCTATATAGGGTTTCCAAGGACTAGTTGGAAGGCTTGAACTGCAAATCTTTTGGTTATCCGTTATCCTACAGTGCCACACCAGGACTGCAAATTCCTGATGTCAAATCATTCTTTTTACCTTGTCCCAATAATACCTTATAATGGATAATATTTTATATGATGAAATAACTTTTCTAACATAATTAGAGATCAGAATAGAAGACATTTCTTATTATAAACTGCAGTAATTCAAGGAAGCTTTATATAAAATAAAGTGAAAGAATCATTTTGAAGACAGCAAAGCTTGATAATGTATATATTCACATGTAGAAAGACATATAGTAATTAGTAATACAGCACCATTGGTAAAGTGTTGTCTATTTAATAAATTATACTTTGGTGTCACTTTACTGGATTGGACAAAATTATATTCCATTTTTCATCATTTTGTGTTACAGCATATAATACTTAGGATAGTATCAATGCTTCTATTGTATAGTTTTGTACTATAAGTAAACAATAAAACCATTCCCTGCCAATAAATACTCTAGTATATTATGAGGGCAGTTTAATTACATGAGTGCTATTTGTGTACAAATGTACTCATTTATTTACTCTGAATGCTATGCATTTACTTAAAAATTAATAAGCCCTCAATAAAATACAGTGGTTTATAGTAAGAAGAAAAAAATAGAGTATCAGAATAAATAAAGTAATTTCTAACAGCATAAGTAAAAATATTTTATAAGAACTGAACTTCAGAGGTGTGATTTTTACAATAAAACCGAGATATAGTCTTTTAACAAGCACAGAAAATAGTACTGAATACTAGATTACAAAAACAAATTTTGCATAATTCTACTCATCTTAACTGAATGAATCTGAAAGAAATTACAAATAAAAGCAAATTAAGTAACTTACATGAAACATAGTGCAGGCAACTTATCTAGTTTTCTTAGCTTTTCAATAAGAACTGGAAACATTTGTACCATGTTTTCTGAATTACCAATTGCATCAGGACTAAGTTTCTTCAGTACCATTTTGGCCTGCAGCAGTGAATAAAACATGATTAAAGTTCTGTATAGCAAAATAAAGAATGGCATTCTTTAACAAAAAATTATTTCATGAGGAGGTGGGGCTTGATGGAGGATAGTGTAGAGGTGCGGTGAAGTTCTCCATCAGCAATACCACAGAATACCAGGTGAAGCAGGTTCAGGGCAGAGCTTTAAAACTCTGAACCACATATCTAGGAATATTTTCAAAGTTTGAAGGCTTATGGCTAGTGGAAATTGTAGCAGAAGTAAGAAATTTCACACTTTAGAATCTGCTGGCCTCAGTGGCCTGGAGCTGACAACTTGGGTGAGACCAAATGGCAAGACCAAGGGGGAGAGCAAGCAAACCAGTCAAGGAATAACTCCGCAGGAACCTCGGAGCAAAGGTGGGCAATATACATTGACAGTTTTGCTTTGTTTTGATTTTTTTTTGGTATCTGTTCATTGCCTCCCCCCTCCCCCCATTTGTGCATCTCCATTCTGGTGACTAGAGGGGGTGCCAGAGTGAGTGGACACCTCCCACCTCCAACACTGGTGGATTCTTCTGTCACACATGTACACAGATACTCTCAGCATTTAAAGCTATAGGCAGCTCAAAACAGCCATAGCCAGTCCTGAACTATTTACTGATAGGGAAAAGGACAGAACAAGGTGTGTGGAGATGGAGGGAGAGTTTAAAAACAAAACAGACTGAAAATTAAATCCTGAAAAACAGCATAACAACCAACACTGGCATCTTGAAATTTATCAGGTGGCCTTGAAGGCAAGAAGCTGAAAGAGGATATTAAAATCGTATTCATATTAGGCTACAGATTTAAAAAAAAAAAAATTTTTTTTCTCTCCCTCCTCTCCTTTTTTGGTGATTATAGACTACAGTATCCAATATAGTATTTTGGGTTTTTTTTTGTTTTATTTTTACATTTGGAAGACTCTTTCTATCCCTATATTAAATACAAAGAGACAACAATTGTTGCCATATAGTCAAGTAACAATCACACCCTATAAAACCCCACAATCCAGCAAGAACCAATACCAAGTGCCATACACTAAGGAGGCAGACAACAACTTCAAAAATTCTTCTGAGTTAAGCAATAAGAAGAGTGAAAAGGGAAGCCCTAAATCTGATCACATCTACCTGGAGGCAATCAGAAAACAAAAAAATACCCAAATACACACTAAAATAAACACACAAATAGACATTAGAAATGTCCAAGAAGCAAAAGTAGATGACCATATCAGCACATGCCCAGAAACAAGATACAATGTCTGAGACAAATGATCTAGAGGTAGACCTGGACTCTATTCTGGAAGGAGGGCAGGCCTTGGAAATGCCTGAGAAGGAATTCAGAAAAATGATTATAAAATGTTTCAAAACACTTTACAATAGAGTTGAGAAGAATAAGGAAGAAGTCAGGAAAGTGCTACTGGAACAAACAAATTAGACAGATACAGCATTGGAAACTATTCAAAACCTACAGAAAGAGGTCTAAATGATCAATAATAGAATATCAGAAATAGATAATACACAGAAAGGGCAAAGGAGTAGAATAGAAGAGATGGAAGGCAGAACTAATGAGCTGGAAGACAAATTTCTCAATATCACTAAGATAGAAGAACAAGCAGAAAAAAGGATAAAAAAAAAATCTGAAGAAGGTCTAAGATTCATGTTGGATAACATGAAGAGGAATAACTTAAGAATTACTGGTATTCTGGAACTGGAAGAATCACACAAGTCCAAGTCCACAGTAGAAATGGTTGAAGAACTGCTGGAAGAAAATTTCTCTAACATCCTGAAAAGTGAAAAGATAAACATTCAAGAAGCTCAACGAACCCCAGGAAGGATAGACCCCAAAAGAAAATTGCTGAGACATATCATAACCAAGCTCTCCAAGATCAAAGATAAGGACACAATCCTGAAAGGAGCTAGGGAAAAGAGAAGCATTACACAAAAAGGCAAGCAAGTCAGACTAAGCTCGGATCTCTCAGCAGAAACCATGAAGGCAAGAAGACAATGGGGAGACATATAAAACCCTGAAAGAAAAAAATAACTGCCAACCAAGAATCCTTTATCCAGCAAAGCTATCAATCAAATATTACAGAGTAATCAAAACATTCCAGGATAAACAGAAGATAAGGGATTTTTCCAAAGCCAACCCTGTGCTACAAAACATCCTAAAGAGAGTTCTGTGGTCTGAGAACCAACACGAACAGACAACAAATAAAGACTGACATACATGGCATCACCTCCCATAATTAATCAATAGATGGAAGAGTCAAGAATAGAATAAAACTATAAGAACAAACTCAGAGAATCTAGTCAGTCTATGATCAAAACAATTACAATGTCAAAGAAGGTAAACACGTAGGAACAGAGATCCAGATGGTGAGAAGATCAGGTAAAAGACAAGATAAAATAGACTACACTAAAAGTAGGGAAAAGATAATGGAATATAAGGTAACCTTAAAGAAAATTAACATACCAAAAAAAATGAAAACAAACACAACATGCCAAGAAAGTGAAAATCCAAGAAGAACATGGAAACAATAAAACTATAAGGAAACTCACAAGAATGAACACAAAAACCACCAACTCAACACAGGAAGATACACAGAATAAAGAAAGCAGCAACACCACACACAAAAATAAACAAAATGGCAGCAATTAATCCATACCTATCAATAATTACACTGAATGTGAAAGGATTAAATGTACCAGATTAAGAGACAGGGGATAAGAAAACAAGATCCATCAATATGCTGTCTGCAAGAGACACATCTTACACAGAGAAACAAAAACAAATTAAAAATCAAAGGATGGAAAAAAATATACCAAGCTAATTGCAATAAGAAGCTAACAGGAGTGGCAGTATTAATTGCTGATAAAATAAACTTTAAGGCAAAACCCAGTATAATAGATAAAGACGGACATTATTTCATGGTTAAAGAGAAAATTGAACAAGATGATATAACCATAATAAATATCTAGGGTCCCAATTAAAGAGCTCCAAAATATTATAAGCAAACTGTAATAGATTTGAAGAAATAAATAGACAAATCTATAATAATAGTGGGTGATTTTAATACACGACTTTCAAAAATGGATAGAACAACCGGAAAGAAATTTGACAAAGACACAGAAGAACTAAACAACACAATCAGCAAACTGGACCTCATAGATAAGTACAGAGCACTTAACCCAACAACTTCACAATACACATTCTTTTCCAGTGTATATGGAAAACTCTCCAGAATAGAATATGTGTTAGGTCAAAAAACAAACCTCTATAAATTTACAAATACCAAAATACTACAAAGCATCTTCTCAGACCACAATGCTATCAAATTAGAAACCAGCAATAGAAAGAACAAGGAAATAAAGTTAAATATATGGAAACTTAATAATAACCTGCAGAAAAGTGACTGGGTAGGAGAATAAATAAAACGTGAAGTCAAAAAGTTCCTAGAAACAAATGAAAATGAAAACCCAATAAACCAGAATCTTTGGGACACAGCAAAGTGGTGCTGAGAGGACAATTTACTGCAATAAATGTGCACATCCAAAAAGAGGAAAGAACCAAAATTAACACATTAACACACTATCTACATTTAGAAACAGAGCAACATAGGGAACCTACAGCCACCAAAAGAAGAGAAATAATAAAGATTAGAGCAGAAATAAATGAGTTGGAAAACAGAAAAACTATAGAAATAATCAACAGGACAAATAAGCTGGTTCTTTGAAAGGATTAACAAAATTGACAGACCATTAGCAAACCTAACAAAAGAAAAGAGGGAGAAGAAACAACATACATTACAAACCACAAGGACAATTTTATATCAGAACCAAAGGAAATCAAAAGGATAATAATAGAATACTATGAAGAGTTGTACTCCAACAAATTTGAAAACTTACAAGAGATGGATACACTTTTAGAAAAACTTGACTTACCTAAACTTACACAGAGTGAAATAAAAAACCTAAACAGACCCAGAACAAAAGAAGAAATTGCTTAGGTCATTAAAAAACTCCCAACCAAAACATGTCCTGGTCCAGATGGCTTCACTGGTGAGTTCTACCAAACATTCAGGGAAGAACTGTCACCAATTCTACTCAAATTATTCCAGAATGTAGATGAGGATAGAAAACTTCCTAATACATTTTATGAAGCAAGCATAAGCCTCATACCAAAACCAGGGAAGGACATCACTAAGAAAGAAAATTATAGACCAATATCCCTCATGAACATGGA